GTGAGTGAGTGTGTGTATGTGTGTGTGTGAGTGTGTGTATGTGTGTGTGTGCGAGTGAGTGAGTGAGTTATTGTGCGTGTGTGTGAGTGAGTGCGTGTGTATGTATGTGTGTGTGCGAGTGAGTGAGCGCGAGTGAGTGAGTTTGTGTGAGTTATTGTGCGTGCGAGTGAGTGTGTGTGTGTATGTGTGCGAGTGAGTGTGTGTGTGTATGTGTGCGAGTGAGTGAGTTTGTGTGAGTTATTGTGCGTGTGTGCGAGTGAGTGTATGGGTGTATGTGTGTGAGAGTGAGTGAGCGCGAGTGAGTGAGTTTCTGTGTTATTGTGAGTGTGTGCGAGTGAGTGTATGGGTGTGTGTGTGAGAGTGAGTGAGCGCGAGTGAGTGAGTTTGTGTGAGTTATTGTGCGTGCGAGTGAGTGAGTGTGTGTATGTGTGTGTGTGAGTGTGTGTATGTGTGTGTGTGCGAGTGAGTGAGTGAGTTATTGTGCGTGTGTGTGAGTGAGTGCGTGTGTATGTATGTGTGTGTGCGAGTGAGTGAGCGCGAGTGAGTGAGTTTGTGTGAGTTATTGTGCGTGCGAGTGAGTGTGTGTGTGTATGTGTGCGAGTGAGTGAGTTTGTGTGAGTTATTGTGCGTGTGTGCGAGTGAGTGTATGGGTGTATGTTTGTGAGAGTGAGTGAGCGCGAGTGAGTGAGTTTGTGTGAGTTATTGTGCGTGCGAGTGAGTGTGTGTATGTGTGTGTGTGCGAGTGAGTGAGTGAGTTATTGTGCGTGTGTGTGAGTGAGTGCGTGTGTATGTATGTGTGTGTGCGAGTGAGTGAGCGAGAGTGAGTGAGTTTATGTGAGTTATTGTGCGTGTGTGCGAGTGTGTGTGTGTGCGAGTGAGACGGCACGCGATGACTGGTCGGGAAGCGATGTGTAGTCTGACATGTTTCTTGTCCACGACACAACAAGATTTTAGGAGTCAAAATCACGTACTCTGACACAGTGACTATCGTACGAGACAAACAAATCGTGTAATCTGAATCAGCCATTACCTTTATTTCAAAACTCTTTTTTTTTGGCTTATTCTGATTGACATAGCCTTTGTGTATTTTTTTTCCATGTTTAAATTCATTGTTCATGTATTTTACAATTTGTAAGGTGTCCTAGAGTGTCTTGAAATGCTAAATATTGGATTCAATCTTTTTATTAACTTGTTTTCTGTCATTCAGCACATGTTTAGTATTTGTTTTTGGAAGTGATTGATCGTAGGCCTCATTGATCTGAGCTCATGCAGTGACAAAAATATGAAGCAGCACGACTGTTTCCAACACTGATAATAATCATAAATGTTTCTCGAGCAGCAAAGCATCATATTAGAGTGATTTCTGAAGGATCATGTGACACTGAAGACTGGAGTAATGATGCTGAAAATTCACAGGAATAAATTCAATTTGAACATATTTTCATATTAAAAACAGCTATTATAAATTGTAATAATATTTCACTATTTTTACTGTATTTTTGATCGAATAAATGTTATGCTCAGCTAAACACTACAAAAATCTTACTGACACCAAACTTTTAGACATTAGTGTGTATAATTAAACACTGCTCTTGATCTCTGGTTTCAATGCAGTGTTATTAGTTATAATAGTATATGTAGAAATATAATACAGTGGTGTGCAGTGTATATTTACACGTTCAAGTTCAAATCATACTGAGGTCATTGTTTTTTGTGCCACTTCTGCTTTTTTGTTTAAAAATACTATAATCTAAGAAATGTCTGAAAGATGTTGTGGCTCTGAATAGCTGAATCTGTTGCTCGTTGTGTAGACAAACACGCGTTCAGCCTCAGTGTTGTTTAGTTACTGTAAAAGAGCAGCTTAACTTGCTGGCTTCAAAGAAGTGGATCTGAAAATAGTTCCTGAGCTCACAAACCCAGAGGAAGCTAAAGAGATCAGTCATCGACCACAAAACCAGATCAAGGTGAGCGGTTCTGTAGAACAACACAAACCACACGTGTGTGTTGTGGAGGAGAACCAGCGCAGACACTACAACACACCCCGATAAAGGCAGAAACATCAATATTAAGAGTAGCTGAAGTGTTGCTCTCAGTCAGTCTGAAGCACAAGACGTGATCATGTGAGTGAAGCTCATTGACCCTAATAGGCCCTGACGTGACCTTTGACCCCGGGCTGCAGTGACCTCACATTAATCACAGTGTCGTTTGTCAATTAAAGCTCCTCGAGCCCACAGACAGACCGGCGTAATCACAGGGGCAAAGCACAGGCTAACACTGAGAGATAGTTAGAATAAAGATATATTAAAAAAACATATATAAAATAATTAATACAAATACATATTAATATTTTAAAATGCTAATATTTTTATTTATGAACATTAAAAAATAATATATACAGACTTAATATGTTACCAATAACATCAGATATATAATAACAGGTCAAATATATAGAAGTATATTAGATTTAAACAATAAATGTGTAAAATGTTGTAAACATATT